CAAGTCTTAACACATTAAAAAAACAAAAACAAACAAAACCCCCCCACTAGCACTGGGTGTTGGTGGTGCATGCCTTTGATCCCAGCACTCAGGAGGCAGAGGCAGGCGGATCTCTGTGAGTTTGAGGCCAGTCTGGTCTACAGAGGGAGTTCCAGGACAGCCTCCAAAACAATACAGAGAAACCCTGTCTCAAACAAACAAACAAACAAAAAACTGAAGTAACTCCCTGCATCCTGTTACATCATCACGGATTAAAACTGCATATCAACAACAACAGAAACAACAGAAAGCTTATAAGTTCATGGAAATGGAACAATTCTCTACTGAATGAAAAATAGGTCAAGGCAGAAGTAAGAAAGAAATTAAAGACATCCTAGAATTTAATGAGAATGAAAATATCATATTCAAACATATAGTATACAATAAAGGTGTTGTTAAGGAGGTATTTCATAACATTAAGTGCCTACATAAAAAAAATGGAGAGATCTCATACTAGCAACTTAATAGAACACTGTAAAGCTCTAGAAAAAATAGAAGTAAGCAACATGCAAGAGGAGAAGTCAAGAAATAATCAAACTGAGGGCTGAAATCAATAAAAATAGAAACAAAGAACAATGCAAAGAATCAATGAAATAAAGAGTCGGGGAAATCAACAAGACAGACAAACCTTTATCCCAACTGACTAAAAGGCAGAAAAAGAGAGAGAGAGAGAGAGAGAGAGAGAGAGAGATTATCCAAGTTTACAAAATCAAAATGAAAATGCTGACATAACAACATACAGTGAGGAAACCCAGATAGTTTTAAGGACAAACTTTAAAAACCTGTACTGAGCCAAACTGAGAAATCTAAAGGGAATGGATAATTTTCTCAGTAAATACCACTTACCAAAGTTAAATCAGGTTAAGATAAACAATTTGAGGGATGATATGGAAACCTAGTGAAGTGGACACATTCTAAAATATCTGAAGGTGACCCTAATGAGGTCCTCTAATAAAGGAATACAGACTCTCAAGTGGCCACATCTTGTCACCAAACAAGGCTTCCAGTAGTGAGACTGGGTTGCATTCAATTGAATTGTTGGTGAGGGGGGGTCCCATGGAAATCCTGAGACAATCCAAACTGTTTCTAAGGCAATGCGTTGCTCTCCAAAAACTGACAGTGGGGCTACATTGCTGAGGATAACACCTACACAACTCACTAAACATGGAGAAGTTGAGCTGGTACCCACAAGGAGCCTTCACTCTATGTTTTAGTGTCTTTGGTGCAGGCAGATACTAAAAGAGAAACATAAGCAGCAACCCAGCCACAAAACCTTTGACCTACACTCTGTCCTGCTTGTAAAATATGCCAGAGAATGGTAGCACAGAACTGGTGGGAGTAGCCAACCAGTGTCTGATTTGACTTAAGGCCTTCTCAAGGAGTCAGAACCCATACCTGCCATTGCTTGGATGACCCAGAACCAGACACTGGATAACCCAGAGACCTAGGGCAAAAACAAACATGAATGGTGGCAGACACCTTTAATCCCAGCACTCAGGAGACAGAGGCAGAGGCAGAGGCAGACAGATCTCTATGAGTTTGAGACCAGCCTAGTCTACAGAGCAAGTTGCAGATCTCAAAAACAAAACAAAACAAAAAAAATCAATAAAATGACCCCTAATAATATTCTGCTATACTCACAGATAGCAGATGGGAACATATAAAGAGACCCACAGCCAGACATTACACAGAAAGACTAAATGGAATGTCTCCATCAAATCCCTCCCCTCAGAGTTCAGGGAAAGCTATGGAAGAGGAGGCTGAAGAAGTGTAGAGTCAGAGGAGATGAAGAGAACAAGGCCTTCTGATTCAACTAAGCAAGGCACATATGCGCTCACAGAGACTGAAGCAGAAAGTACAAGGCCTACAGGGGTCTACACCAGGTCCTCTGTGCAGATGTTGTAGCTTTCAGCTTAGTATTTTTATGGCTCTCCTGAGTGTGAGGAGAGTGGGTGTCTGTGGGACTGATTCTTGTGCCTGATATTGGTACCCTTCCTCCTGCTAGGTTGCCACGACCAACTTTGATGTGATGGGTTTTGCTTCATCTTATGATATTTTATTTTGTCATGTTTGGTTGTTATCTCTTAGAAGCCTGTTCCTTACTAATTAGAGACAGAAAGGGAGTGGATCTGGAAGGGAAGGGAAGTGGGAGGAACTGGCAGGAGTAGAGAGAAGGGAAACTATAATCAGGATATATCATATGAGAAAAGATTTTATTGTCAATAAAAAAAAATCAATTTGGTTCAGGCCTTTTTCCAAATGTGAAACTCTGTTCATTTGAATTTTTTTCTATCAACAATCATGTTGTTCCTTTAGCACTTTGCCTTTGCTTACAGTGTTAAAGAATGGTTCCTTGTTTCATATGTATATGATGTCTGAAGAAAGATAATTGTTGAGGGAATGAATGGCCAACCCATTCCCAATTGGAAATTATGTACCCTTTGTATTTATCGTAATGTATAGACTGCAAAACATGTAAGAGTGTCAGATCCCCTAGCACTGAAGTCACAGGTGGTTTTGGGCCAATTAAATGAATGCTGGAAACTGAACTCCAGTCCTCTGTAAGAGTAGTAAGCATTCTTCATTCCCAAGTTATCTCTCTAGTCCCAACTTTGGTTTTCTTATTTAAGTTCAATGTCCATTTGTCATACTGTCTTTTAGTTGAAACATACCCCCTTGTCAAGCCTTTTGAGAAACCCTTCCTGCCCTTGGTAGGAGGGACTTCCATCAAGGTCCTACAGCATTCATTGCATAAACCACAAAAAAATGGTCAAGTATTGTGGGTTCTAATGTCCTTTTCCTTAATCACTTATGCTGATTTATCAGAGTACATCCAAACTAAGATCAGGCACAGCAACACTAGATGAAGCATTTAATAGGGACTTGCTTCTTACTAACTTTTGTTGTGATAGTGAAAATGTACAATTTCACATTTAACAAAAGGGTATATGAAATGATTCCTATGTTTTTCCTGCCACTTTGAGACATATAAATTTGTCAGGAAAATGAAATACATGAGTTTATCCTGGGCTGGCTAAATGAAAATAAAATCTAGATTATTGTCTGAAAAATACATGTAAAAGAGATGATTCCTTGTCCAACCTTGAGGTACGTTCTGAAATTTTGTGTTGTGTTGGAACAATGCCTCTCAGTCATTGCTCAGTATCTCTTCTACTGGTACCCAAAGAGCCTTTTAGAAAAGTGTTCTTAGGAATGTCATTCATTTGTATCACATCTATATTGCTCCTGCCCCTTTCTCCTCCAATTCCTCCCATAGCCTCCCTCTCTCTCCCAAACTCATGATTCTTCTTTAATTATTATTGTTATGTGTTTATACATATTGTCCTTTGTTTGTCAATACACAAGAGTTATCTTACAAAAGGAACCCCAGCTGAGAAATGTCTCTATCAGAGTGGACTGTTGGCAAACCTGTAAGATATTGTTTTTTATTAATTAGTTGATTGATTGATTATTGATGTGTGAGGTCCCCACCCATGGGGAGCAGTACCACCCCTGGATAGGCAGTCCTGGGACATACAAGAAAGCAAAGTCAGTAAGCCAGTAAGCAGCATTCTTTTGTGGTTTCTGCTTCAGTTCCCACCCTGATTTCTTGTCCTGTCTTCTCTCATCAATATACTGTCACCTGGAGGTGTACAATGAATAAATCCTTTCCTCCTTTTGGTCATGGTCTTTATTATAACAACAGAAACCACCCCCCCAACACACCACACACACACCATAAAAACCACACACACACCACACACCTTACTCATACCATACACATACACCACACAAACCATATACACATACCACACACAACACACACACACACACACACACACACACACAACACACAACACATACACACCACACACACCACACACCATACACACCATAAAAACCACACGCTCATCATGCACAACATATACACGCCACACACACACACACACCACACACCACACACACACACACACACACACACACACACACACACACACACGGTATTGAATCTATTTTTATTGCTCGTATGTTCTTGGGTCCTGGGTTGACCAATCAGGATTGGAATACCTATATGGGAGCTTGTCCCTGGAGGAAACCAATTCTCCCTCTTTTAACATCCATTAACCACCTGAGTCTCTTCATCAAAGGTGGGAATGTGTGAACTTTTCCATATCCAGAGAGCTTTTGAAATACATTGTCTTAAAGCCCACAGGATGGAAATTTCACAGTCTTACTAAAAAAGTTATGTATTGTATGTATTTCTGTGATTTGTACTCATTAAGAGATTAAAATGTTTTTTCCCTCCCCTCAAGCACCTTTTTGAGTTGTGTTTACCATATGGACTAAAAGGGTGAATGTCATGAGTCAAATTATATTTAAGAAACATGTAAAATGAGATGTGTGGAGTTGGATCCACAGCTCCACAGTTAAGAACATTCACTACTCTGGAAGAAAATGCTGGTTTAGTTCCAGCATTCACATAAAGGCTTACATTTATCTGTAACTCTAGGAGATCCGATGTCCTCTTTTGGCCTCCATGGAGAGCAGGCAGGCATGCAATGCACATACATACATGAAGACAAAGCACTCACACATATAAATAAACATAAACACATCTTTAAAGTGAGCTTGTGTGTAATTTTAGTGATCTGTGATGTAGTGAAGGTCACCATCCATACCTCTATATCAATCAGCTATTGAAGTAACTGACTGTAAATATGTATCAAAGTACATCATCATCTGATTGAAGAACTGGTATCCCATTCTTCAGTGGAGTGAGCTTACTGGCACTAAGCTGAGTGACTCCATGTCTTTGCCTCCATTCGGCCACCTTATCATATAGCCAGTGAGTTACCAACATTGAGAGAGATGAATGTCTACATTAACTTATTGCAATTTGAAGAGTCTAGAATACTGAGGTTACTAATACAAATCCTACTTCCACCTCAGTTTAAATTATTAATCATTAGTTATATGATAAATTTGTATTTATTGTCCTTGTGCAGGGGTCATGCTAATCTTCTCTGTATCGTTCCAGTTTTAGTATATGTGCTACTGAAGGCAGCACAAATTTGTATTTATCAAGCTATTCTCCTTATACATTTTTTCAAGGTTTTCTCCCTCCTTCTTTGTACTCACAACATAATTATGGTGAGTTGTTTTAAAACCTGGCATAGAGGTGCAGACAAAAAAATGAAATGACACTTTGAATGTTTAATGCTTAGTCCAAAACATGATTGTTACAGAAGGCCAGTAGCTCCTTAATTATGATTTACTGCCAGTGTATTTTGAATTTGGAATAAGGGGAAATTATCAATTAGGAAGATAGCATGAGATACTGGAATAATCAAGAAGTATCGAGAAGATAGTGAAATAGAGAGAAAATAAGATTTGATAAAGTCAGAGATGATGGGAACTTTCAATTCATTCAGAGATGAAAGAAGAGGAGAGAAAGCATGGAAGTGTCTGAGAATTTGCTTTGGGTAACTATTGTTTATCTGGAGAAAGAAAGGTCTCAAGGTCAAACTACCTGTCAAAAGAAAATCTCAAACATAGGCCCTTGGGAGAATGAGTTTTAGTCAGCCAGGCTGGTGATGATTTGGACCAGGCAATCATCCACTGGTACAGGAAACCTGGCAGACTTGTCACCTGCAGGCTTGGCATGAGAGACATCAATCATTGGGCTTAAGAACTCAGGGTAAGAGGTGACATCTGGAAGTGGGCTTTCTTGGGTTTTTGTGTATGTGTGCTAGGAAATTGATTGCACAGCCTTTAATAGTGGCAACCAACAGAATGACTCACAATGAAGTATGAAATTGGGCAATAAAATTGAGACCTCTTAGAGATTTGAAATGAAATAACAAAACACACAAAAACAAGGACAGAGTTTGGTTGCCTTGTGAAGCTGGATCAAGAGAAACCATTTGACAGGATCCAGTGTTTTGCTTAATTCAAGATTGTATAAACACATAAGTATCTCTCCCAAGGCATGGATTATGCAAAACAAAAAAATGTTAAATATGCTTAATGGAGCAGACACTGCTAGTGTGTAATGAAATTTATTCTTCTCTAGCTCCTCAGTAGCCAGGCCCACAGTTTAGTCAGAGAGGCAAGGTGCTCTGCCCCAAGGACTGAGCTGGCCTCTGTGTAAGTCATCCATAGAACTCTTTTTAGTTATGTTTTCATTTCCCAGCAGCCTTTGCAGCTAGGTGATCATATGAGTTGGTTCTGACCAGTAACCTGTCATTGCAAAGTTTATTTGGCAGAATCTGAAAAAACTTTTTCCCACTCTCATAAAAATGCAGAGAAAAGACACTCTCCCCTCATGTATTTTGCCCTGCTTGGGATGATATTGTAGAGACGTGCTGGATGGTTTGTGACCCTGAGATGACACACAGGAAGATAGGGCTAATGTAGAAAAACTGATGGAGCATAACTATTTAAAAGATATCTCTTTTCTTTTTTTTTAAGCCTAAGTTTTAGGTGATATTTATTCAGTTTCTAAATCAGGGCTTGAGAGCATGAATAAGATATCATAGGTCAAATGTTACATGGGAAATAGAACATGAAATATTCCAACTTGAGAAGTAAGGAGTTTCTCTGTTGAGGTCAGGGCAGGCTGTTTGGTGTTGACTTGCTTCCAGCAAGATAACAAAGGCATTGAGTATGCTATTCTTCAGCCCCTTGACAGAGGATTTTTGTTGAGGCACCTTTTGGTCATCTTTTGACATAGACATACAGACATAGACATCTTCTTGAGAAAAAAAATTATGAGATTAAGACTAACAAACTTGTCTTCCTGAGCTATTTTATTCCTTCACCCCACCTCCTTCAATCCCCACCTACCCCTCATCCACCTCTGCCAGTTTAGTAGCAAGTAAATGGACAGAGAAGTGAAACTCTCTTAACTAATTCAATCTCACCAACATTTCAACCATTATTAGTCTTTGGAACCTTGTGCTATTAAAATGTCCTCATGGTTGAAGCCTTTGAGAGCTGGCTGCCTGTTAGTTTTAGCTAAAAGCATTCTAATGAATGCTAACAGAAACTCAAGTTGGGCGAGTTGTAAAGTGGATAAGGGTACCAGGGTCTATAAAGTCTCATCTTGTGTGTCTATAATGACATTCAAATGAAAGCTTACTCAATGAACAGAGTTCTAAATAATAGAGGAGGAAATAATTGAGATGGCGAAGCTACCTCCTGCCAAGTCTAGGCAGTAGAGGCAGTAGAACTTCATTATACCAGCAAGAGAGTTAGAAGGCCCAGTTTTAAAACTTGCCTTTAGTATCTACTAGTTGGCTGTTGTCAACTATCTTAGCTATCTGACATACAGATGAGTTATTGGTAAAAACTAAATGATATTTCCTCATGGACTTCTTATGAGATAACTTCAGGCATCAAGTATTCATGTAGTGCACGCCAGTGTTTTGGTCAGTGACAGTTCACATATACAACTGTGGTCCCAGATGGCCATAATGGAGATGCCTGTCACCTAAGGACATTGTAGTTATCATAATTTGTTGTTCAACATGTTATTCCCCTCCCCCAAGACAAGGTTTTTTTTTTAAGTTGCTTAAGTTGACTTTCAACTTGTGGTTCTCCAGCTCTGCATTGGCACAACTGGTTAATTACTCCCATAATTGCAGTGATTATGGTGTGAACAACCTTACCACACTGCTAGGTATGTAAAAGCATAGCCCATATAGCCATATAAAAAACATAATACTTGGTAATGTGCTGTGGGATTTCAATCCATTTAGCCAATGACTTTTGGGGCAGAAAACTCTAAGGTGTGGTCTTTGTCTACCTATGTCACAACTTAAAAGATGAGGATGAGGGTCTCTTGCCCTCTTGGTCTCGTGCTATCTTGGGTGGTGAAGAGTGGATCAGGGGGCATGAAGCAGCATGTAGTCAGTCCCTGAGCAAAACCAAAGGACTGTGCAACTGGATGTGTCTTGTCCTGTATCCATGAGTCTGTCTCCAGAGCACCCCCTTAATATATACTATGTATATATAAGTACATATATACATATTAATATATATATGTTATAGTAATGAGAATAAATTACTATATTACTGCTTTATGTATTTACAACACAAGATTGATATCAACAGTTTAGAGTGGACTGCTACTGATCAAAAATAGTGTACAGTGAAGCTGTTCTATTCCGACAGGAGCCTCACTTGTCTTGTGTTTACTAAATTGTCTTAGTTCTATTGCCATGATAAAATATCTCAACTGAAAACAGCTTGGAGAGGAAAGGGTTTATTTGGCTTACACTTTCATATCACACTCCATCACTGATAGAAGGCAGGGCAAGAACTCAATGCAAGAACACAGAGGTAGTAAGTGAAGCAAAAGCCATGGAGGAAATCTGCTTACTGGTTTGCTCCTATGACTTGTTCAGCCTGTTTTCTTCTACAGCCCAGGGACACCCACCCAAGGATGGTATCATGCCCTGCGTGCTGGGCCCACTCACATCAATTATTAATTAAGGAAATACACTACAGACGTGCCTATAGGTAATCTGATACAGATATGTTATCAGTTGAGGTTCCTCCTCTTTCCCAGTAACTTTGCTTGTGTCAAGCTGACAGAAAACAAACAAGGATACACACACACACACACACACACACACACACACACACACATATATATATTCTTTATGGCATCTCAGTGTCACACTGGATGTCTGACCTATGCCATCTTACAGTGTAGAAATATACTAGGTGGTGACTACACAAGGTAAATTGTCTAACGGCACTTTTACCGGAATGTGCCCAAACTGTTAATGTGTGATTGCATTAAACTTATAGTGCCCAGAACTCATTACGTTTTGAGTGGCAAAAAGTGGATAATGAGTTGTTTTCAATTTGTGATGAATACAGAGCATTTTTTGATCTTTTATGAAAATCACTTGAACCCATTTCAACTTATGTTCCAGAGAAAAGGTTTGGACTACTTACTTTTTTCATTTTGTTCTATATTTTCATGTCTATTTCTAAGCATTCTAAGAAATAATTTCAATAAACAGGGAAATAAAAGGGTAGAAAAATATGGGGATGTGACGACTTGGCAAGGTTAGTCCTTTTAAGCAGAAGGAGAGCTGCAGACAAATGCTGTGATCACCGTAGCTGTGGCTCTATCCTCACAAGATACCCAAGGGTCAGGGAGTGTCTGAAGCTCTAGATTTGTGCTTAAGGACAACAAGGACCCTTCTCCTCTGGCTCATGTGTGTGCACACCACAGTGTCACCCAAGAGACTGGGGACATGAGAAGGGATTTCTCATGTCTTCTGGGTCAGGGCGCTAAGTGTAAAGCCATTGTGCAGGTTATTTTGACATTCTAGAATGGAGATTTGGTCAGGTATGAATGGAACTATGGGAACCTTGGGGAAACTTAATGGGCAAGGTAAATTTTAGAAGACTTTTGATGAGTCTGTAGTTGAGATATAAGAGGGAAATAAGAAAGGGAAGAGCAATACTGCATCTCCAAAAGTGAAGGCTGGCTGATACAGTGGAAGAAATTAGTAAATAATTTTGGAATAGGATAAATGATGGCAAAAGGTAATTCACTCCAACCCTGTGGGGAGCCACAGCCCCAAGATGGCGCCTGGCTGGATGCCAGGGAGACCGAGCTTAGCTGTAAACAAGCCTTATTTGGAAGCGCTTAGTGGATCTGGTGTGCCTCCTCCAGCTGTGACCTATCAGGGATCGCCAGGTGGCATGAGCTAATTGGGTAATGAGCTTGCTTTTAAGGGCTTGCCAGGGGGCTGCGAGAGGTAGAAGCAGAGAGAGAAGCTGAGGTAGAAGTAGAAGGAGAAGCTGATGTACAAGGTTCCTGAAAAAACTGCTTGAAGAAGAGTCGTGGTCGTGTTTCTCTTGCTGGTCGAGATAGACGCGACACAACCCCCTAAATCATACATTTTCTCATGCTTAAGATTTATTTCTCCCAAGGTAGATATCAATCTCATTATAGGGGAAGGACATCAATGGCTTCTTTCCCACCACAGCTTGGATTCTTAGTTGGGGTCATCGCTGTGGATCCCCTATAATGAGATTGACGTC